CAAATGTACTTAGAAAAAATAGAAAAGAAAAGAAAGACAGACATACCAAAAAACAGAGATAAACAAACTTCTTTAAAATTGATTGTGTGTGTGTGTGTGTGTGTGTGTGTGTGTGTGTGTGTGTGTGAGAGAGAGAGAGAGAGAGACCTGCAGCATGCAGCATGTCAGTGGCGGGGAGCACAAGGGCAGGCACTGACCTCCAACAAAAAGAAGTAATTTTATCGGAATACAAGAGTTTTTTCTTTTCGAAATCCGAATAGAAAGGGTACACGTTGTATTCGAATACAAAGTGTACTTTTTCTATTCGAGGAACTCTGCTATTCGAGAAAAGTGGGCCCGCACCTTTTCAATTTCGAAAATGGACTGTGGCCTCCTCGGCCTCCTACGTGCAGCTACTGGTCCTACGTGGTCCTGGACCAAAACCCGTGCGGTCCCACGGGCAGCTACAGGTCCTGCAGTTTCAAATAAGATGCCACCACCCCCTAAACTGCCATGCCTTGTTTTTCTAGCCTTCCAACGACCGTATAACGAACGACGACGAAAAATGTTCTCAGGGGCATAAAACGCACCCCTGACGGGCTGCGAACTGGGAAACTTCCTCTAAACCACCTCAGAGAGGTATCGGTTGTCGGGCAGTCGTTGATGCTCAACCACAGCCCGGGTTTGAGGTGGATTATCACTTACAGTGTAATCAGTTAGGGGATTCTGCAGACTGTTGAGGGTTCAGCCCCCTAATGAGTCGGGGGAACTCCGACGAAACAGTTTGTCACAGCCCCTCGTTTGTTGTCCTCTTCTCCCTCCCTCGCTGCCTACGGTTTACCGGGCAGCTCTGTTTGACAATATATAAACAGAACTGCCCGGTAAACCGTAGGCACATATTGTCAAACAGAGCTGCCCGGCAAACCGTAGGCAGCGAGGGAGGGAGAAGAGGACAACAAACGAGGGGCTGTGACAAACTGTTTCGTCGGAGTTCCCCCGACTCATTAGGGGGCTGAACCCTCAACAGTCTGCAGAATCCCCTAACTGATTACACTGTAAGTGATAATCCACCGTAACCCCGGTTGTGGTTAAGCATCAACGACTGCCCGACAACTGATACCCCTCTGAGGTGGTGGGGACCACCAACCACTGGCCCTCAAGGTACCTGTGACGAAAATCAAAGCAGACTTTCACTCACCCATACCAGATGGAAAACTCTATACTTACCGGGCAGCTCTGTTCTCTGTTCGACGATATATGTTTTATTTTGGCATCCTGGTTGGTTGATTCCCGTTGTTTGGCCTGTGTATTTGGGGGCGGTGCTTATATGTGGGAATCACCATCTGGGATCTTTGCTTTGTATGGATCCGTCGTCTTTTTATTATGGTTATGGTAGATTTGGTAAATTTCGCAACCTTGTCTGCATCCCGGTTGGTTTCGTCCCATTGTTCGGCTTACGGTAGGGTGTCCGTGGCGGTGATTTCATGTGGGACCTGTCATCCGTTTTTTTTATAATCCTTTTGGCGTCCTAGTTGGCTGTTTCCTGTTGTTTTCATGTGGGACCTGTCATCCGTTTTTTTAAAATCCTTTTGGCATCCTAGTTCGCTGTTTCCCGTTGTTCGCCGTTGGTGCGACGGGGCGGTGTATTTCTGTGGGAATCGTCATCTGGGACTGTCTTTTTTTTTTTTTTTTTTTGCCGTTGGTGGCGTCCCAGTATTTTAGTTTGGAACAGTGAAGCAGTAGAAAGATGAAAACGATACCAGTTCTTTGCAACGAAAAACAATCGCAAAGGATTCTTGGAGTTGATGCAGAGTCGCTGGTGAGTACGAAAGGTTTGTTATCTGGGATTGCTTGTTTGCAGGCAAGGGTGTTTTGATATCCTGGTTGGTCTTGTCCCGTTGTTTGGCCTGTGATGGAGGCGGCGGTGCTTGCATGTGGGACTTGTCATCTAGGATTTGTTTATGTTTCTTTCCCCCTGTTTTATTATATTTGGCTGTTCCCTTCCTCTTTCTTTGCCTCTTTGCCTTTTGGCTGTGTGCAAGTGGGTCGATATGACACACGGGGGTGGGGGCAGCCACCGCTCAACCTACATCCATGTTGGCGGCCTTGTACGCAAGAGGTTCTGAACAGGGGGAGTTGTAAGGAAGAAAAAAACGAAT